GAAGAAACAACAGATTGAAGAGATGACTCCAGGCTATGAAGAAAGAGAAAAGACTTTTGATGAAACAACTCAGAGTTACGGTGAAATGAAAAAGTGTATTGTCAGTAAGTAATAGATCTTTTCATTAGTTTTGGGTATATATTCAGATAGCTGATAATAGGATAATTTAGAGAAATTACTTCATTTTAGCTGAAATAATTTATTTTCACAGATTTGTCATAAATTACATGCTAGTCATAGTCTGTATTTCCCTTGATTGTATGTCTGTTCCCTCAGAACTCAAGAACAAAAAGAATGGACTTGCAGATCAAATAAGAAGAACAAAACAAGAAATTGATAAAATATCAAGGCCACAGGTAAAATATAAAACTGTTGATGAGTTCTTATTTATACTTGATAGTTGATAGTAATGAAGGATTGCATGCATTTAATATAAGACAGTCTAGACATTATAATGTCTGGTTAGAGTCACTGCTCTATAGCAGGCTATGACAGCAAAGTTGCAAGTAATGCTGTATGGACTTGTATGCACTGTAATTACTGCAACTTTACAATGTTTAAATTGGCATACAAATCAATAAAATTGCATTTTGTAAATAAGAATTAAAATTAAGAATATTCATATTTTCAGGAAGTCGCACTTAATGGCATGTATTATATTGTGCTAACAACAACAATGTTATTTTAATTGTATTTTTTACTAATTAAGTTGCATTGATTATTTTTCTTTTTTGCTTGCTTTGCATTCTTGCCTTTGCTAATTGCAGAGTGCACATGAACCACCACCTAAGGTGATTACTAATAATTTGATATGTCTTTATATCAGTATTCTCAGTCTTGATGTTACTCATTATTTTAAATTGTATCCTGTATTCATATTTCTTATTATAGTGTCTAAACCACAGGGTGAACTCTTTGTGCATTGTATTATTTCAGGGATTTTTATGACTGGGCCGTCTGACTTGAATTTGTTAAGAATTGCCAAAAAGGCCAAAATTGGCTTTTGAGTAGAAACCAAAAAAACTATGTCATTATTTTCATCACTTTGTCCACTCAGTTTACCATTTTGTTTGCTAACATGTAAGCATGTTAAGTTAAAGGAAAAATCAACACTACAATATTAATATCTTGAAATTATAAATAAAAGAACATTATGTTTAGATCTCAAGTTGGTCATTGTGGCGCTCTCGTAATGCATTTCACTGATGTGAGCAATAAAGGGATTAGCTCCCTGCTTAGAAAGACAAACGATTGGTATATAACAGAGGTGTATGATGGGAGTACCATCATGTACCTGGACCCCATTGCTGATTAGATTGTGCTAAATTGATATGCATATGGAATATGATGTGACATCTTGCATCCTCTCCTAATACACATTAGATTAAAATAGTTTACACATGCACATGTATGTGAATCATGGGAATTATATAAAAAATGTAAAAATTCCACCGTTTTTCAACATGTCTGACCACTGGCAGCAGTAATTCAAAACAAGGCTGAACCATGTCAAATCCTCACTTTTTTCCTGCAAAGCATGCTAACTCAGACCATTAAATGGGTTACAAAATAGTCCCATGACCCCAATAAAGTACCACTTTCAATAACCACACATTTCAATTGTGTCTTCCAATTGTGGAAATAGCTGCTGTTGATCATATATATAATATTCAATATGTGTAAATTCTTAGTTCACCCTGTGGTTGATAGAATCCTAACAATACTGATGGGTAACAAGGTGTGTCCGATTCAACCTTTTCAATGTGTGTATTGACGTGTGTGATCCCGCTTTATTTATTGCTACTCATAAGCATATATTAAGTAGTCATAGCATGGGCAACGGTAAAATGCAATAACACAATAAATTGGCAAATGCATGCTATATATAGGTTCAACTTACAAACAAGCTGAGGGATCAACGTAAGTCAGCGCTCCTAAAAATGAAAAAAGAAGCGAAGGAAGTGAAAGAGATGGAAGAGAATATATACCATGCAGGCAGGAAATTAAAAGCTGTTA